AGTAAATAATAAATACAAGTATACAACAAATAGTTATCATTTTAATGGGATTAATATATTTAGGACACGGTTTAGACTCATACACAAAAACCGACGTGTGGGTTCAGCCGACCATTGTGCTAGATTAGGTGCATACCCTTTTGATTCGACGTGGCTATCGACATATACACGTTTTCGTAATACAATGTACCTTTTCCTAGATAATGTTTGAATTTTGATTGGAGCCAATACCTTAGCATACTTTTACTTTTACCCCCCTTGCGTTTCCATAACCTATAAAACTTACCCACTCTATTTTAAGAAGCTCCACCAAGTGACCTTCAACTATTTTTCGCACAGAAAATTTTCATGCTTTTTGTTTTTAAAAATGTTCAAATCCGTTAGACAATAAACACAAGCTTTTGAAAGGTTTATATTTGATTTTATTTATTTAGTTTTAAATATATATTTAGAGTTTTAGTTGTTTAGGTAGTCTTCTTGTACTACATATAAAGCTAATGATTTTCTCTAGTAGTTATGTGATGTAAAAGATAAGAATACTTTTATCTATTTTAAATTCTTAAAACATACACTATGGCCAATTAAAATAAAGATATTACTATTTGCAAATACTCCATACTACAAATATTCTTTTTATCACGATATGCCTATTGTCTCATGAATAGTTAATTAGGAATTAAGTGAATCAAAACATTAAGAAAATAGCTCATTGTTTATCCAACATTTATGATTTGATTTTATCAATAATTATGAGTTTTTATTTTGTTGTATAACTCAATTCTTGATTAGGTTGCTTTAACATAGGGAGTTGAATAAAAAAATTATTATCTACAACAATACCCAAATAAACCCTAAAATACTAACATGTAATTTCTATTTGGTGCAACCGAATGAAGTTATGAATGAACATGATGCATAAGATAACAACGTGCATCATTACCATTTATTACCATACTTGGTTAGATTCATAAAAAAGAAACAATTTATATACATACATTGTTGTTTTATAGTTAACATATTATCTTTGAGCCAAAGATATTTTTGGTATATAACGAAAGGTTATTTTGTTCTATAAAATCATTCAAACCAGCCACTAATATTTTTAGACTCATCGATGACATACGTGTGTATTATGTGATCGTTTGACATTGCTTTTTTAAAAGATGAACAGAAAAAATGTTGGGATAAAAACTCATACTTCAATAGATATGAAAGTATGAAACCACTATATTGAGGGGGTAAATTGGCTATTTATACATCTAAAGTCCGAAAACTGACTAATAGAAGTAAATGAAGGACCAAAATGTATTTCGCCATTAAATTTGTATTGGAGGGACCGGTGAAAATTTCCCAAGAATTTAAATAGGCGCTTTAACTTAGTCGTATCAGTTTCTCTCATACCTAAGATCTCCTTTCCTTTCCTAGAGCGAGATCTCTCTTCCCTTTTCTAGAGAGAGAAAGCTCAGAGCTGCGTCAATGGCGTTCATATCTTTTCTCGGCCGTGTTCTCTTCGTCTCCGTCTTCGTTCTCTCTGCTTGGCAAGAGTAAGTTCATCGTATTCTCCAGATCTGATTACGCTGATGTTAGTGCTGATTCCCTGTTTCGTGTATCTGTTTTTGGATCTGGCATTTGTTGGTTTATGATTGTTTTTGGTTACTTGTTTTAGCAAATGTCGTTACAAGACTGCTGAAATTAGCCGTGTTTGTGTAATCTGCTCTATGAGTTTTTTTTTTTACTCCAATTTCAAATTTTGGTACTTTCTTGATATTGTTGAACTTTTCCTCTTTTCAGCTAAAAAATCGAAACTGTTGTACTCTATCCCCAAAAATATATCTAACACTCTACGAATTTTAAGCAGTTGTATATATCATCAGCAAATATGTCTTATTTTGCATAAGGCTTAAAGTGAACTCTTTTGAGATTTAAATTTCAACGGAGTAAAATTTCAAATTAAACCTTTTAGATCACGACCAACACTTTTGAGAATGCCAAATGAACATGTTTATGTTCCATTGAAGGGGTTTTTTTTCACTGATGATGTGCAATTAGTAATTTACATTGTCAATTACATAAACAACTATAAAAAACATGTAATTTATCTTGACTTTTTTGAGTATTTATCAAACATAGGTACAATGATTTTGGCAATGATGGAGGTTCTACAGCAAAAGCTCTTGTGCCCAAGTTCAGTGTTTTCACAAAGCATGTCACAACACATACTGGTTTCCAAGTGCCTGAATTTGAGGTAATACCTAAATACAAGAAATAGCAACATGTACTTTTCATTTTACTAGAGCTTTGTACTTTTATTTATTTATTTATTTTAACTACAATGCCTTATAATATGAAATATTTTGTTCAGATCAAACTCTTGGTTGCTGGAGCAATAGTCTTGAAGGGTATTGGAAGCTTGCTTTTCATCTTCAGCAGCAAAATCGGTGCTTTTCTTCTGGTTAGTAATTAATTTTCTGATTATAAGCATCACTTTCTTGATATTTTATGCTAATAAATAATTATTTGACTTTTTATTTTTAACATCATTTTTCAGATTTTGCACCAGCTGATTGTTACTCCAATTTTATATGATTTCTACAACTACGACATGGAGAAGAAAGAATTTGCTCAACTTTTTATCAAATTTACACAGGTGTGTATATCTCATATATCTTTTTGTATAATGTTTTTGATATATTGGATTAAATGGATATGGGTTGAAAGATATAAAAGTAAAAAGCTATAATAAACAAATCTATAAAAGTGTATTGCTATTTTTTTTTTTTACAATTTTGGGTTTATGTAGAATTTGGCGCTTTTGGGGGCACTCATGTTTTTCATTGGAATGAAGAGCTCTTCCATTCCAAGGAGAACAATGATCAAGAAGAAGGGTTCCAAAACAAAGACTGTTTGAGTTTAAGAGGAGATAGTTTTGTGTTGTTAATTAAAGTGGTAGTTGATGCAACTTTGTACTGTTTAATATTGTTTGTTTTGTTTTTGATTCATCTTTGTAATGTTTAAGGAATCATGGATATTCTCACTTGTCCTTTTAATAGATTCAAATGATTTTCTTATGTAGAAGAAAACAAATTTAAGCCTTATTTTATTTTATTTTTCTTTTAAGAAACTTTTTTTACTGCAAAACTATTTGCTGTAAAAATTATTTTTTTATTTAAATTTCAATAAATTTTTTTGGGAAAATGACTTGACGAACTAATTATTTTTTCGTCTTCTTTATGTTTAGTAATTTTTTTATACATTTGACTATTCAACTTTTTAAACTTGTTTATATATTTTTATTATAGAAGGTGATAATGGTAATATATAAATATATTTAACCAGTTAAATAGTTAAATATGTATAAGAAAAGAATGTTGTTTAAATGTAAATATTTTGTTTTTTTTTTTAATAATTTTTGAAGACTTTTTTTATAATTTCTTATAATATTTTTCCTATAGTTGTTTATTTGTTTATAAGCTTTTAAACTTTGCTTATATATTATTTTTTTTCATACTTTTATACAATTTTTATACAGGTGTTTTTAAACCAAGCATTTTATAAATATTTAAAATTTTTCTTACAAGTTTTTAACTTTCTTTTTCATAGAACTTTTTATAAGTTTCATACAAATTTTTCTAAACTTTCTTTTAAATATTTTTAAAGTGTTCCACAAACTTTAGATGATAACTTAATACTAGTTTAAAATGTTGTATTAAAAAAAATAAAAGTTTAAAACAATTACATTATATAGATTTTTTTTATTTGCTACTTAATTTTTTTTAAAAGACCTATTGTTACATATTTAATTTATTTAATTTTATTTTTAGATACTATTTACTTTAAAAATATTGTATATACTTAAAAACAAAAAAGAAAAAGAAAAATAGGAGGCTATATAAAATAGAAAAAACATCATAAATGATCCCTGTGGTTTCCTAAAATATGAAGTTTAGGCCCTGTGGTTTAAAAACTTCATAGATGTTCCTTGTGCTTTCAAAACTTTTAACAGATAATCCTTATCCCTCACACCACTGGAACCCCACTGTTAACTCTTATTTCATTAAAATAATATAAGGGCAAATCAATCTTTTCACCTGTGCCCTTTTCTTTATTGAGGGAAATGATTATGCCACTGTCTTCTTTACGTCAACCCCCAAACACTCTTCATTTCCCAAGAGTACAGTGACTTCGTCTTCAACAGATCACTCTCATCCAAGAAACGAAATTGGGGTTTAGGGTTTACACAACACCAAAAGACAATGTATTCGTGAAAAAAATACGTGCGTGAAGGACTTGCAATCGAGATACGGTAAGATTTTTCATAAAAAAAACTTAAGTTTTTGTTTTCCTTAAATGTATTCGTGAAGATAAATCATCTTCTTTACCCTTTCTATTTTTGTGTTTGCAGAGGGATATAATAACTATTTCACATTGAAGATACACTATAGTGGTGTCTTCACCAAGTCACCTGGAAGGAAAATGTCGATGGTACTGTATCATACGTAGATGACGTTGACACTAATTTATTTTCAGTCCATGAACTCGATGACATGGTTCGAGAATTAGGATACAAAGGTGAACAAACTCTTTACTGCCATTTCTGTATCCTTGAATTTCCCTTAGACTACGGGGTATTGCCTTTAGGTAATGACCAAGATGTTCTTAAATTGGTTTCGTATGTCCCTAAACACAGACTTGTAAAGGTCTATATTGAAATTGGTCAGACTAGGGTAGCTAGTTATTTTAAGTTTCCTTCCAAAGTTGTTATTGAGGAACTGGAACCTGAGAGTGTGTCACCGGAACTTAATAGAAAAAAACCTTGTAGAAGAGAAGTAGGATCGTGTAGTAAAAAGCTTGAGTTAGACCACCCTGCCAACCATGTTGTTGACCAGTCACAGGTAATAGATATGGATGAAAGTCATGATCATTCAAAGACTATTGTTCCATATGTTATGTCTCAAGTTAGCCAACGAAGTAATGTCATTGATGTGAATGAAGGATTAATCATGGGCCACATAGAAGAAGTGTGTAAGGGTAATTTAGGCAATCTTGCAGAGGAACCAATTTGTGAAGATATTGATGGACAACAAAGTGTAAGACTCGATGAATTTGAAGCATTTACAGATGATTATTCAACTTATGCCGACTTTGATGCTGAGTACAGTGTACCAAATGGTGAAGAGAATCAAGTAGAAATTGAAATTCTAGAGGGCATGGTAAGTGATGATAGTAGAGATGCTTTCTATAGTCAGAATGAAGATGGTTCTGATTATAGTGGAGATGATTCTGATGATAGTGACTACATTGTACATGAGTCTAACTTGCAATTTGATGGAGATGTAGACATGAGTGAATTCCAAAGTGCCGTGGATGGAGATGAACATGGAATTTTAAACAAGCAAAACCGAAAGTATAGGGAATGACATAGTTGATGAAGAGTTGGAAGTTATTCAAAGTGATGATTGTCAGTATGCATGATTTTATGAAGATGAAAGGACAAAAATGCTTAAGGAGTTGAGTAGGTCAACTTCATGCTCACATGGGGAGATCCATTTAAAACCATATAGGGTGGGGCAGTGTTTCAAAACAAAGAAGGAAGTTGTGGACCACATGCATTCACATGCTGTAAATACAAGGAGGTCCCTATACTTAGCAAAAAATGATAAAATCCGGATAAGGGTCAAATGTGGAGGTGTTGTGGGCCAATCTACTGAAACAGTTAAATGTGGTGGGTCATCAACTAGAAGTAAGTTAAAGTGTAAGGGACAATCTAATTAAACAGTTGAATGTGGTGGGCCATCAACTAGAAGTAAGGTAAAGTGCAAGGGCAAAAATGTGATTAGTAAAAAAGGATAATGTCCTTGGGCAGTCCAAATCTCGAGGCCATATGAGAATAAGGATTGGTTGGTGAAAACAGTACACGATGTCCATAAATGTTTGCAGACAAGATTAGTTAAAGCTTGTACTTCCAAATATTTAGCAAACTTAATTGTTCCATAAATTCAGAGTAACCCTAAAATTCCAATCAAAGCTTTACACGAGGAGTTATGTAAGAAGCTGGAGCTTGGTGTGTCAATTCAAAAAGTTGCTAGGGCAAAGCAAATGGCTGAACGTGTGATTAGTGGGGACTACCAACTTCAATATGGGTATCTGAGGGATTATGCTTTAGAATTGCTAAACACTAATCCTAGTTCAACTGTTAGGATAGATGTGTATCCTGAACCATGCTTGTCGACTACTACAAGAACTTTTAGAAGAATATATGTATGTCTACGTGCATTGAAGTTGGGATTCAAAGCTGGGTTAAGGGATTTCCTGGGAGTTGATGGTACATTCTTGAAAGGCCCATATACTGGGCAGGTACTAACTGCTATGGGTCTAGACTCAAATAATGGAATATACCCTGTAGCATATGCAGTGGTAGAGGGTGAAACAACTAGTTCTTGGACCTGGTTCATGGAACTGTTAGGAGAAGACTTGGAATTGGGAGCAAATTCAAAATTTACCTTCATTTCTGATAGACAAAATGTATGTTTTACCTAATTATTTATCATGATAGTGTACCTTACTTTCTATTTTTATAAATGAAACTGACTATATTTGCATTTGTTAAGGGGATAATACCAGCAGTTGCAAAAGTATTCCCCAATGCAGAACATAGGTTTTGTTTGAGGCATATTCAGGAGAATTTGAAGAAACAATGGAAAGGAAAAGAGTTGAGTGACTTGGTTTGGGAATGTGGTAGATCAACAACATTAAATCACCTTAAATATGCAATGGATGGGTTGAAGAAAATAAATGATGAAGCTCATTCTTGGTTGTGTAAGATTCCTGCAGAGACATGGTCTAAATCTCACTTCAGTGTTATGTCATTTAGAAGTTGTTGAGTTTTATGTTTTAATATAAAATTTGTAATTTCTCTTTTTGAATATATTTTTCACAGGTAGGGCACACACTGATTGTTTGTTGAATAATCTGTGTGAGGTATTCAATGCTAAGATAGAGGGAGGTAGGGATAAACCAATCATCACCTGCTTAGAGTATATTAGAGAGTATCTCATGAAGATATTGCGTGTTGTGCAAAAGGAAATAGATAAGTGTCAAGGGGAACTAAGTACTACTGCAACTATAATTTTAGAGGAGATTAAGACTTAAGCAACAAAGTATGTAGCTAAGTATAATGGGGCAGGAAAGTACCAAGTTGCAAGCACATGGCAGGATCAGTATGTGGTGAACCTAAATGAAAGAAGTTACACTTGTAGGTTCTGGGAGATTACATGTTTTCCATGTAGGCATATTTTTTCTGCTATATGGAACAAAATTGTAAATGGAGAAGATGCCCCTGATGTTGAGGATTGGGTCCATCCTTGCTATAAGTTATCAACATGGAAAGCCATGTATCTGAACAAAATTGATCCAATAAATGGTCGTTCAATGTGGCCAAAAAGTGATTGTCCATTCACTTTAACTCCACCAAAACATCACACACAGGTTGTTATGTCAACTAGGCTAGATATGTACTTTTAATGCCAGCATGTATGTTTATGTTTTAAATATTAATAAATGCATATGTGTGGGTTAGGAGGCCAAAAAAGAAGAGAAGGAGAGGTGTTGATGAGTCCAACAACCAAACCACTAAATTGAGCAGGAAATTTCTTGCAGTCACATGTTCAAAGTGTCATAACAAGGGGCACAAGTCCAGAACATGTAAAGGGCAGAGAGGCATTGGTGAAGTTGGAACAAAGGGGAAGACACAAGGAAAGGGAAAAGGGGTTGTAAATTCTGTTAAGTAGTTAATTAGATGTTTGGGTAGTTAGGTCTATTGAAAATTGAATTATGGTTTGGTTGTTTAAATTATGGTAATTAGGTCTTTTGTAATATTTGTATGGGTTAAGACCTTCCATCAGTAAGTATGTTGAAACTAAGTGTCATGTTTAAACACAAACTTGTAATGATTTTATCAACATTTTGCTTATGAATTACCCTCTCCAAACCTTTCTCAAAAAGATGCATGTATAACAATGTAGATTTGAAATACCATTCCTAAGCATTTGCAAGATGCAGTTATAACAATGTATCATACGAAAATACACATCAAAGCCATTGATTTATAACAAAATACATAATCATCATTTCCATTAACTTAATGTGTTACACTTCATACAACAAAATGAAACCAAAAATACCCATTCCATCACAATCCAAAACCCCTTGAAGTAGTTAGATGCGTACAAAAGAAACCAAAACCCCTCATCCTATTACCATCCAAATCCTTAAACCACCTTACTGGTTAAAATAAAACCAAAAAAACAACATCAGCTGGTAGTTCCACAGTTCTGCACTTGCAATCATAACCCTCTCTTCCAACCGATTCATTGATCTTATCAAACCTGGAATCACCACCAATACCCTGGCACATATCGGAGGGTCAACCAACCTTACGCACCCATATCTTGAACAATTGAAAAATTGCCTTCCTGGGTTACGATCCGTCCATGACATCAACTTCGTTGTTCCCATTCCATATCTACAAATTGCCATCTTTGACACTCGCAGAATTCATTTTGCAATTGGATGCATAGTAGAGTGAGAGTAGAAGAGGGTGGGTGCGAGAAGCGTTTTCAAAATATCAGACTTGCATTTGGTTATAAAGAAGAGGGCACAGGTGAAAAGACCGATTTTCCCTTATATTATTTTAATGAAATAAGAGTTAACGGTGGGGTTCTAACGGTGTGAGGGATAAGGACCATCTGTTAAAAGTTTTGAAAGCACAAGGACCATCTATGATGTTTTTAAACCACAGGGCCTAAACTTCAGATTTTGGGAAACCACAGGTACCATTTATGATGTTTTTTCTATAAAATCTTCCACAAAATAAAAACATAATTATTAATTAAAAAGTAAAGTTTAGAAGTTATAAATATTTAATTAATATTTAGGAATTTATAAATACTTTAAAAGTAATGTTTGAAAAAAATAATACTAACAAATATGAAAAATAAAATCGCTATTAAAAGTGGGGAAAATGACTTATCATTGTAATTAACTTTTCGTTTTCTTCACATTTATATAACTTTATTTTTTTTGTAGATATTTGACTATTTAACTTATTAAATGAGTTCAAATATTACCATTGTCACTTGCTATAGCCGATGAAAATGGTAATATGTGAACACATATAACAAGTTAAATGGTCAAATATGTACAAAAAAAAAAGAAGTTGCCTAAATATGAACAAAACGACAAAGATGATTACCATGGTAACTCATTTCCCATTGTACAACAATACCATTGAACTTTTTTGTGTATATGTATCACTAACCAACTATAGCATATGTATACTTATAACTATTAAACTTCACATTTTGTTTAAAAAATATTATTGTGTTGTTGGTAGGCCTGTCAATGGAACGAGTTTTGACCTTCCAAACATTTTATTAAACGGTTTGCGTACGGATCATCACCGATCCGCTCCGTTTTATAACCAGTCCCATATAAATTTTAGAATTATACGTTTATGTTTTATACTGCTTAAAGTTTAATTTTAGCTCCAATCGAAAGTCTAAAGAGCAAAGGCTAAATACCAAACTGTTTTTACATAAGACTTGAGGAGTTAAATTATAGATTTATAGTCTTCTATTAAGTAAAATGTATTTGATTATTCAAAAAACCTACGGGTTACAAGGCACGTTTGAAGATCTGCTGATTCGGTAGATAAGGTATGAGTTTGATTATGCAAAACCCTGCAGGTTACGGAGCGAGTTTGGATTGTATTTTGAAATTTGTTATAAGGTTTTGGATCATGGCCGATTCGCTTCAAACTCTCCCTATTGCCAGGTTTATTGGTAATAGTAGGTCAGAAGCTAATGACATGCTATGTGACATTTTATTGTTTATTATCTACATATCATACCATTGAGCTTTTTGTTTGTACATATTTTACCATTAATTTTATATAATTTATTAAAAGATACCATTTCAAAAATTGTATATATTATTACATAAAAATGGGTTCTCCACCGCCCATTGCAGCTCCTTTATGGTACCAAGTGCACCATTTTCACTGATCACAAAAGCCTCAAACATATTTTAAATCAAAATGAACTAAACATGAGGCAGCGGAGATGGATTGAGCTGCTAAATGATTACGAGTGTGAGATCAAGTACCACCCAGGCAAGGCTAACGTGGTAGCTGATGCCCTGAGCCGAAAGAAATATTCAAGTCGTCGCGTGAAAACTCTATCAATCACCATCAAATCTCACATAACCTCACAAATCAAGGAAGCCCAATTGGACGCATTGAAACCATAGAATGTCACTAGTGAATCACTACGTGGAATGGATAAGGAATTTGAAGTTAAAGAGGATGGACCTCACTACTTCATGAACAGAATATGGGTTCCTAAGATTGGGGGATTTAGAG